ATTATTATTATTATTATTATTATTATTATTATTATTATTATTATTATTATTATTATTTTCCTTCCCAGCTTTTTGGGTGGTCTGGTGGTCTTCTACCCAGGTTACTAATCAGGTACAACCCTGCTTAGCTTTTGGGAGATTGGCCAGATTAACTAAGTGTCGCCATCTGCTGTGTTTTGCCTTTAGGATACTGGTGTCCAAAAGATTTCGTGATTGCACAATTTGTGATATTTGGATTTCAGTCTCCATAGAGACTTTTATAGCATGCCATCAGTATAAAGGAAGACATAGTTCCATGGGTGTTCACAAATACACCCTCTTCTACCTTTCACTCCCTGGTGCATACAGAATTTCTATAAGTGTATTTTCTCAGCAAACTGCTGTGGTAGGTACCTCCAAAACATCCATCTCAAACACATCGTTTCAATACAATATACGATCCCTTTGGATTCCGTATGTAAAAAAAAGAAAAATCCTTCACGAAGTTTGTTCCGAACTTTTAATTTGGTGGGGTAGGGTGTCATTACCACAAACTAGGTCAGCCAGAAAACATCTAACAGTTATTTGCTGCATGAGAGAATAAGACACAAAGAGAATTCTGGAAATACAATTTCAGACCACCTCTGTAGATTTTACTCGGTGGGAGTGAACTTGAACAGATCAAGAGATACGTGTTATTTCTGAGCACATACAAACTGAATTCGACCGGACGGTAGTTCTCATTTGACAAAGACTTGATAATATCTCCAAAACTAACTTTGGGGGGAAATCAAAATATGGTCTTTTCATAGCACAGAGGATGGAATAAGAAAGTGTCCCCATCCCGCCTCATCCCCTTGGCACCTGTTTTTTTAAATAAGAAATATTTTACTTCTGTCCGAATCATGACTAAATGTTTGCATCTCTGTTTTCCCTTATTCACTGCTGGGCAGCAGAAAATCACCACTGAGAGAAAATATACAATTCAATTATTTTATCCCTAACAGGTTTCGTGGAGGCTGAGTGTGGTTAGCTAATGGACATAAAACTTTAATTTCTGCATTCTAAATATTTGCCAGTGAATCGGGCTAAGGGGCGGTTGAATTGGTTTTCATTCTGGTTCTGAAGGCAGGCTCTGCTTGAATTCCTGTACGTTATACACTAAGTGTGGGAAATCCTCTTTAAAGCAAGGAACACAGACTCCTGAATGGGAGATCTTAGACTTCTATCTTAAGGTTTGTGGGGTAGGCAAAAGAAGTATGCTGTTCTGACCAAGGTTTCCTGAGACCATAATTAAGAACATGCTTAGTCCAAACAATTCTTGTTTTATTTCAATGCTGGGAATTATGTTCATTCCCAACCTGTAATGAGTCCCAAAAAGTCCCTCGAGATAAGCACCCACTTTTATCTCCTTTGAATTGTTGCCAACAACTAAAGTGCCAAATGATTTATAAAAAACCAACCAAAGTACAAAGTCCACACAGAGCTTCAAGGTATTAACCCGAATGACTTTGCTTCCTGCAAAGGTTTCTCTACCTTTGCACCTCCTTTATACTTTAGGGGAGGGGCAATCACCTCCAAGCCTTACTCCCAAGTCTCCCCTTTTGTCTTAGCTGGTGTTGCCTTCTAGCAGCCCTGTGCACACATGCATTGGGAACAGGTTCCCCTGGTTCCTCTGCCTCACTGCTGCCAGACTCTGGAGGCTCCGGAGGCAGCACCCCATTCCCTGATGGTCCTGACCCCATCTCTTCATTGGATGCAGGATCCTCGTCCGAGTCCTCGCCAGACTCCCAGACTGGTCCCTGTTCTTCCCCACTGTCCGATTCTGCTGCTGTCTGCACTGGCTGCCAGAGAACCACAACACGTGTAGAGACTGAACAAGAGTTCATTCAGGTAGTCCGTGACTTAAAGAAGTTCATTTAGTGACTGCTTGAAGTTACAACAGCACTGAAAAAAAGTGATGACTGTTTTTTATACTTACCACCGTTGTAGCATCCCCACGGTCACCTGATCAAAATTCTTATCCTTGGCCATTGACTCCTATTTATGATGGTCGCAGCATCCTGGGGTGTGTGTGTGTGTGTCACGGGATTCCCCTTTTTGCGAGCTTCTGGTGAGCAAAGTCGGTGGGGAAACCAGATTCCCTTAACAGCTGTGTTCCTAATTGAACAACTGCCATGATTCACTTTAACTAAGGTGGCCAGAAAGGTCGTACAAGGGGGCAAAGCAAAGCTCACTGAACCTCTGTCTTACTTAGCAAAATAAATGGTGGGCTCCATTGTGGTCGTAAGTCGAGGACAACCTATATTTACTTTAGAGTTAATAGAATTAAAATAGCATTTAACTCTATGCATTTAATCCACACACACACAAACACACACACACACACACAGTCATGCCCCTGTCGGGGTCTGAATCCGAGGAGGAAGACAAACAGCTGGCAGGGAGCAGGAGTGTGGCTCCGTTGTCTGTGGAGGAAACTGGGGAAGGGCAAAGTCCGGCTGGGCAGAGCAGGGGAGAGGTAAAGCAAGGGAGAGGGAACCCAGGCCCACCCCCTCTTCATCCTAGGGAGGAATGGAGAAGAGAGCAACGTGGGTTGCATGGCTTACAGGGGAGGAAAGGGCCCTGATTCCCTTCATTAGCCACACCTGGGAAGAGAGTTTAAAAAGATGCAAGCTGAGTGTGGCATGTGCTTGGGAACAAATGTGATCTTATCTTGTGTTGACTGTGGTTATCTGCATTTCTGGCATCCTCCCAACTGGGTTGATTTACTGACATTCCTTCACGTCTGGAATTCCTTCTCTTGCCCCGCCAGATTAATTACCTCCTCTTGCCTTGATTGAACTTATAGTTACAGTTTTTGTTGACCACGTTTTGGACTTGGTTCTCTGGAGCCAAAGGCTGTTCCCAGGAGAGTTTTTCTCCAGCCAGAAGGTAACCAGGACATTGGGGGCAAAGTTGGAGCTAATAAAGGGACTCCTACTTATTATCTGGTTGTGTTGCCTTTGTGCCACACCCTGGGTCATCTCTCTCTCACACACACACCACCTCTTCTGGCATTTTGCAAATTACAGTTTGGTGGGAAGTGCTGGATGAGGTTCAGGAACAAAAGTCAAGGTTTAGGAGGGCTGCAAGCTGGTGGAAATGAAAGCGCTCCCTCCCCTTGTTCTAAGGTCCCTTCATGGCATCTAAGAGTAGCTTCTGGTGATAATTCCAGCAAGATGGTGGCAGGGAAGGGGAACTCTTGGCTGTGTGTGCAATTCATTAGCCTTCCTCTCTTCATAAAAAATTAACAGCAACCCATTTTTTTTTATCCTGGTCTGCTTCCCCCCCTCCCCCCTTGTGTGTAGCTTAGTTCCGAGGTCCTCCAGAAAACATGCCAGGCTTCTTTGTCTCCTGCATTCCTTATGTCATGAGAAAGAAGGGAGATTCCTTGAGGCCTTTGTGAGTAATTCCCCCCCAAAAAAACTGTTGCATAATTGAAAAGGGAGTGTGGTGT